CAGACAACCTGGAGCTGAAGAAGCTGGTCTACCTGTACCTAATGAACTATGCCAAGAGTCAGCCAGATATGGCCATTATGGCAGTCAACAGCTTTGTCAAGGTAAATTGGCCCATGACTCACCAGAAAATTGCCTTGTACAGTTTGTGTCCAAGTGCTTTGTTTGGCATAGTCTGTTTCTAGGGTGCAGGTAATCTACTTGTTCTCCAGAGTCTTTGGGCAGGTGTGGGACTCTGAGGGGGAGTGTGCAGGGAATTGAAAATTGTTATGCTGTCTTAGACGCGAGGTCCCTCTAGCTCAGTATCCCACAGTGACAAGTGTCCAGTGATTCAGAGGAGAGTTCATAAGCCTAGCCATAGGTGATTCTGAGAAAATCTGTCCCCAGGGAAAGCTTTACTGACCCCTCTCAGTTAAAGGATAGCAGAACTCTTGTTCAGGTTTTAGCCTTCATTATAACTCTCTGGTCTTTCTGGTTATCCATAGAAATGTCTAGTCCACTTTTGTGTCCCACTAACGTCTTGCATCAATACCTTGTAGTAATAAGTTCCTCAGGCCGACTGTGCATTATTTAGAACAGTATTTCCTTTTATCAATCTTAAATGACTTGCCTTTCAATTTCACCTTGTTCCCATGTCATCAGAGTGAACAGCAGAGCCCACTTTTTTTGAACTCTTCAGTATTTCACATTCTTTGACTGTCATCTTTACCAACATTTTCTAACAACTTGACTAAAAACTTATCTCCTAGGTATTCTGTGACTTAATCTTGTAAATAGAATTGAATAGAGGTGCCAGTAAATAAGTCCCAGCATATGTGTGAGCTTTTGATGTGGCAGGAGGGAATGAATTGGCTGCTAAGGAGAGGCAACCAAATATAGAGGGATCTTCTGCTTTTCAAGGTCAGCTCTGGAAGCTCCCTTCATCAGCAGACTCGTGGGGTAGCTGAAATGGAGAATTACATTCTGAAACACACTTCTGTTGAGACAAATTAGTGAGTCTCTCAGCGGAAGTTTTGGCTGAAGAGAAGCATTGAGAATATGACTTCATTATCTGCTAGCAGCCAGGGCTAGAAACTGTTAAGAACCAGTATGGAGTGTTTTCAGAACCAGTGCACTTTCCCAGCCTTTGTCCTGGACCAGAACACTACCTTTCTCAAGTGGGAGGACCCATTGCCCAGGAAGGGGAAAATCAGAACATCCTGACCCCAGCTTTCTGTAGCTATCGTGAAAAATATCAGTGGCTTACATTACAAACCCACTTGTTGTTGCTTCCCCCTGCAGGATTGTGAAGATCCAAATCCCCTGATCCGTGCTCTGGCAGTCCGTACAATGGGGTGCATCCGTGTGGACAAGATCACGGAGTATTTGTGTGAGCCTCTCCGGAAGTGTCTGAAAGATGAAGACCCTTATGTGCGGAAGACGGCAGCCGTCTGTGTGGCGAAACTGCATGACATCAATGCCCAAATGGTGGAGGATCAGGGATTCCTGGATTCCTTACGTGACCTGATTGCAGACTCCAATCCTATGGTAAAGTACCTTAAATACACTCTCTTCATATTTGTAACCGACCAGGTACCAGTAATCAAAAAAGTTCATAAATTGCACTCGCTGTACCACTCCCTTGTGTGTTATTGGGAACATTTACACCCTGTAAAGGGTGGGGCATGCTTTGTTCTTCCAACACACTCATGTTTTCTGTGTCTTTGTAAATTTCTCCACTATGTGAATCTTCCACTGGAAATCTGTATAGAAATAAAATTTCAGCTTACCCCATACCTTTCCTTGGTGTTTACATCCACCTCCCATTCCAAACAAATTTAGAAAAATGCTGTATTGAGAAGCCACACTGGGCTGGAAGTAATGTCAACTTGTTTGTGTGGATTTTGAAAGGGGTGGACAGCAGTGAAAATACAATTTTGCTCTGAATCAGCACTTGGGCATGACAGGAGTCAAGAGGCAGAGGTGGAAGCATATTGCAATATTTTGTAATAGATTCACTGGCTTGAAAAGAAATATTGATCAACTTTCTGGCCTGCCGGATGCCCTTTTCCCAGTGCTAGTTATGGAATGGAATCTGGCACTAAAATCAGCTTGATTCTTTCTCCCTGGCTGAAAGTCGAATTACTCCTCTGCCCTGTTCTCCCATCTCTGGTAACGAACAGAGATAAGTTTGATAGTTGTGAAATTGAATCTCCTGTAATTACCCAGCCCTGCTAGGCAGATGGTGAAATGCTGCCACTGCCTTCTCAGAAGGTATCTCCTGTTGCTTTCTAAGGCAGTGGGTTGTGTCGGCAATAACAAAAGTGCTCAGCTAGGCTTGTTTGCGTCCTCCCATCATCTCCAGGGTTAGCTTGTTTAATTCTGGGCTGACCCCTGAGACTGTGTTGGACGTAACCATCTGAGCTCAGCACTCTTCTTTGGCACTAGAGGTCATGTAACCGTGACACAGCAATCCCCTCTGGAGGGACCCCCCGAAGGCTTGGCCTCCAAGCTGGGAATGCTGTAGTGGAAGGTGCTCGGCTCCGGCAAAGGGAGGAGCATGGCAGAGTGTGTGCCTCTTCCAGCCAGGTCAGGAGCTCTACTCGCTGACTCCTATGTGAGTCGTGCCTGGGACTCCTCAGCCATAACAAGGGCACTGCCCGATGCAGGGAGGCCACAGACTCTGAGCACTCCCAGCCCCATTCCTATGGTATTCCTCCCTTTTAGTAACTGTGCTATCTAAAGGTGGACGGAGGTGAGATTTCCCATCCAGGCAGTGGCTCTCCATGCCAGGCATTGAGCACCTTTGTGGGGATGTCTGAAGTAAATGAACGTTCATTCTGTCTTGCTAAGTAAATTCAGAGCCAGCGCGGTTACAGGCCTGAGGTGCGATTGCTCTGTCTGTGTGCACTGCATACAAGCTTCCGTGACAGCCACACCCAGTGGTGCAGGGATTGTTTGCCCTGGGAAAAGGGAGCAGATGGACATCCATTGAGAGCCTTGCCTTGTGGAATTGTAACGCAGTTAGCCATCTCCTATCATTCTCCCCAAGCGTGCTTTGGCCTGGGCTTGGCAGGAGTCTGAATCCAATTAGATTTGCCCACCAGAGTCTCTGTCTTTATGAAGATGCTTCTCTTAGGTGATTTGAGACCCTTTATTGGTCTCCTAGCTTGGAGTTCTTCAGCACCATTCCGTTGTCCTTTGGTGGGCACTTAAGGCTCAGGGTTCAAATCATGCATATTCCTCCTGTTTCAATAAGAGTTAAAATGTGCTACAACGCTTATACAATAGCACATCCCTGATTGCTCCAGCATGCCGCCCATGAGAAGAGTCCATGAGATGCTCAAGCTTCAGTGGATTGATACAATCACTATCTGAGAGGTTTGGGGCTTGTACCTTTGCTGTGCCCATACCAATGCCCACTCATCAGAGGAAAGATCTTACTTGAATGGCGCTGAACCCTTGTCCCTAGGCCTGTCCAAACCAATTAACCTCAGTCGCTTTAAGCAGGAATTCCCTTGGTTCCTGAGGGCACCCACACATTTCAGCACTTGCTTTTGAATGTAAAAATATTGTATTTAATAGGTGAACATGGGCGTTGTATTAAACCCCAAAAGATGATCAATCAGAAAGCTGAATGAGGGGCATTTAAAGGTAGCTGGAGTCCTATTCAGAGGTCAGCAGCAGTTAAGCAGGTAATCCCTCTTTAGAAATGGTGAGGGGCAGGCCAGCTGCATGTTTGGGAAGAGGGTAGCCCTAGGGTTACCACAGCAACCGCTAGGAATTTAGCTGGAGGCAGCTGGTGGCATAATGTAGATGTCCCTCAGGAAACAGTCCGAGGAGAGGCTGGGCATATAGCATGACTAGAAGAGCTTCCTATGAAATTCGCTACTGTATGTAAAGAGAATGTACGTACTAAAACATTTCCCAACAGGCTTTGCAAATAATTGTCATGGTATCTCTCTCTCTCTGCTTGTCTTTATCAAGGCTTGTCTTCACTATGTGGCTAAATCGGTACAACTGCAATTGATGCAGTAGCATCAATTCATCTGACCTGCTAAAGATTTAACAAGTTACGCTAGTTGTCATGTAATGTAACTCACATCAAGAGCTCTCCCGTCAACTTAATTAAGTCACCTCCATGAGAGGTGGAAGCTACAATGATGGGAGAGCGTGTCCCGTCATTGTAGCTTGATGTAGACATGGCTTTAACTTGACATAAGTTACATCAACTTAAGTTAGGTGACAACTAGCGTAACTTAGATCGACGTAGAGTGTTGGTGTAGATGGGGTCTTAGGGATTTCCAATGCTTTGCAGACAGCTTCCAGATAATTATCAGTCTCCAGTGCCAGCAGTAAAGGCAAGGGAGACTTTTGCTATGGCTACTAGACATATGAAAAAGTGACTATTCTGTATGTTTGGCATAGTACATCATATGCCACTGAGATTTTCCCTTGTCATCGAAGGAAGGTAGCTGCCCACTGAATTTCAGTAGGAATTTAGTGTTTAATTCCATTAGGTGCTGTTGAAAATCCCAGAACTCCGTTCTTATGGTCTCCTTGAAAAGCTTCAAAATCAGTGAATGGCATGGAAGAGAACCTTCCTCTACTAGGGCAGTATCTGAAGGACAAATGGCTGGAGACCTGTCACTGGGGAGTTGGTGTTTAGTCCACCTAGGCCGCCACCTTCAGTTTACTGTGTCTTGAAACGAAAAGGCAGGTGCTGCCCTGCAGCCAGCGGCGATGCCTGGCACCCGCAAACCACCTGGGGGAATGAGAAGGCATTTTTCACAGTGTTTGACGTTCTAGGCTGCCCAACTCCTGCAAGCAGATGGAAAAGTCAGAGTGCAGGATCTCTCTGTGTTCTGGGGAGAAGGCCAAGCCTGCCATATGCTGAGCAGTGTGAAAGGGACAGGGCCTTGCTCACTGCCTTTCACAAACCTCGCTAGTCAGTCCTAGGATTGGTTGATCAAAGACTCTGGTCGTTATGTGCTGGTAAATGTATCTAAATTAGTGGCTGTAAAAACTCAATGTTCTTATTTTAATATAGTTAAGTGAATTAGCAGGAGCACAGAGGTATAGATTAATCCATTTGTCTCATGCAAGACTGCTTTGAAGGGAGAAATTATACAGTAAATCTGTCCATCAGCAGAGATAGTGAAAGGGAATCTGTTCCTACACCTGAACTCCCTAGTGTTTGTGAATAAAAACAGTGGATAACAGCTTGAGAAATCCCAGTGTACACAATCCTTTTCTTCAGCATTGTTTCTAGGGACTCCAGGCATCCAGCATTTGTCTCATGCAAGACTGCTTTGAAGGGAGAAATTATACAGTAAATCTGTCCATCAGCAGAGATAGTGAAAGGGAATCTGTTCCTACACCTGAACTCCCTAGTGTTTGTGAATAAAAACAGTGGATAACAGCTTGAGAAATCCCAGTGTACACAATCCTTTTCTTCAGCATTGTTTCTAGGGACTCCAGGCATCCAGTAAAT